CAGAGAGGGAACAGAGCTATGAGTTAGCTCCGGCACTGCATGAACCCATATGGACTTACTGAAGCAACTTGAGATCTGGGGTCATCTAGGGGTTACGGTTCATGGTAGTGATGTTGCCAAATTGCTGCCAGTGAGGACAGCAACGAGCAGTGAAAGAAGATGATTAGCTCTGCTGGGAACAAATCGTTGTTGGAGAACTCTGCGAACACAGTAAGCCCTCTGGCATCTTAAAAAATATTGCTGGAGACTGTGCCTGTCACCACTTGAACACTGCCTGCAGACAGGAGCCTGGAACAGCTCACAGCAATGTCAGTAAGTTTCAGCATCATCAGCCCCAGGTGAGGAACTCAGCAGAAGGGAGTATGGAGCAGATCAGAGTGTGTGGAGCAGCAGCTGATGTAGAGCTGAGCTCCACGGGCAGAAAAGCCATCTGAGAGACCATCAGCTTTGCACTCTGCTAGTGCTTTTTCATTTTCTTCTGGAGACTGATGGACCAAATTCCTGCCCTCTCCAGTGAGACCATTTGGTCTTTAGAAGGAAGGATATTCAGCCCGATGGGAAAAGTTCAAGTCCAGTCCTATAAATCTGAGGCCAGATTTCCCTGTGTTACTCTGCTACTCCCTTCTTCTCACTCACACTCACCCACCCACCCCAGCTGACCCTTAAGCAGATCTGAGGGAAGGACCTTAGACCCTTTCCTGGTGTATTTAGACACTGTCATTGGTGTTACTCCCTACGTATGCCATAAATTAATTGTCTATCAGGCCTGAAGATGGTTTTATGAGTCAAATAACCCTGGAAAAAATATTCTGGGCAGTATGGGCCAAATGAGAGAGGAAAAACCTATAGCTGAGAGCAGTAATAAATGCACCATCTGTGACAGGGCAGAGAGAACATGTAACGTACGCTGAACAGTCATTACACACTCGTTTAATTCTCACATTAAGCCAGGAGTTCCCTGAACGATAGAGCCCTAATTTCCCACCAATTTACATCCTGTATCTCTGCCTGACACTGCAGCAGTACCTGCTCCTTCCTGCGCTGTGATTCTCTAAGAAACCACCTCACAACACTGTACCAACACACAGCGAAGCTCAATGCTGGCCCTTACAGGAAAGGATGGTGATGGCACTAAACCTAAACGAATTCTGCTCATTCAGGAGCACCAAGACAAGTGTGTCCCTGTGTTTCCATCCAGCACTGAGGCATTAACCTGCGTGTGGCCAGGCAGTCTGCCTGATTCTTTGCAGCGGCACAGAGGACGGATGTTGGACAAGTTGTCCTCGTTGGCTGAGGATGCACTTCTAGCCCAGTTCTCACATAACCCTCCCTGTGGTCTCCTGTCCTTCCTCTGAACATCTTTCTCACCCACCAAGTTAAGTTTTTGCCCCTGCTCTGCAGCTCTAATTCCTCAGCATGGCTTTTCAAGGCAGCTCAGATCTCAAGTCTAGACTGGGAGCCATGGGTGGGGACACTGCTTTATGGGGAGCAAAGGCAGAGGTGGAGGAAGGCCCTGGCAAGCAGCATGGGGACTGTGAGGACAAGGAGCTTTCCATGCACAGATAAAAAGCATCACAGAGGAAAGTTGAAACCAGGCATCTGCAAAGCTTTCCTCTTCTCTCTCCCATGAGCCCAGCTTGTTTCTTTTAATGAGGTCTCTGGCCAGCAATTCTTTTCTTACTTGAGACTTTTCAGTGAGGCAGGGATTTGTCTCCCTACAAGCAATGTCACAACCATAGCTACCTCTCAGCACCTCCTGGCCCTAGGGCATCACACTGCTGAGGTCTCTTGTCTCACCCATCACACTCCAAAGATCAGTGCACAGAATGAGACAACCTCTGACCACAAGGACAGCAGATAGGTTTGGTCACTGCCCTCCTGCAGCATGACTCTGCAGAAAAGCCGCAAAGCCCGAGCTACATGAGGAAGTGGCATCTACTTTACCCCTTTTTCATAGAATCACAGACTCGTTTGGGTTGGCAGGGACCTTAAAGATCATCTAGTCCCACCCCCCTGCCATGGGCAGGGACACCTTCCACTAGCCCAGGTTACCCAAAGCCCCATCCAACCTGGCCTTGAACCCTTCCAGGGAGGGGGCAGCCACAGCTTCTCTGGGCGACCTGTGCCAGGGCCTCACCACCTCACAGGGAAGAATTTCTTCCTTGCGTCTAATCAAAAATCTACCCTCTGTCAGTTTAAAGCTGTTGTCCCCTACCCTGTCACGACAGGTCTTAGTAAAAAGTCTCTGTCTTTCCATAGGCCCCCTTTAAGTCGCGGAAGGCCACTCTAAGGTCTCCCTGGAGCCTTCTCTTCTCCAGCTGAACTCCCCCAACTCTCTCAGCCTGTCCTCATAGCAGGGTGCTCCAGCTTCCCGAGCATCTTTGTGGCCTCCTCTAGACCTACTCAAGCAGATTCATGTTCTTCTTATGCTGGGGGCCCTGAGCTGGACACAGCACTGCAGGTGGGGTCTCACAAGAGCAGAGTAGAGGGGCAGAATCACCTCCCTCGACCTGCTGGCCACACTTTTCTTGATGCAGCCCAGCATATGGTTGACTTTCTGAGGTGTGAGCGCACGTTGCTGACTCACATCCAGCTTTTCATCCACCAGTACCCCTAAGTCCTTCTCCCCAGGGCTGTAGACACTAGCCTTGACAGCTGCTTCTCACCTGCCAGTCAGAGCTGGAAGAGGCTGAAAAACGAACAGAAGGGTCATTGTCCCCCAGCAAGGCTTGCAGAGAAGAACCAAGTCCTGCGTCCCTGATTAGGAAAAGCACGGGCTGTCACACAGCTTATCCCCTCATAGGGGGACCCAGGAGAGCAGGAGAGGGGCAGATAGCCCCCAAAATCCACAGCATGCTGTCCCTAGACCTCTCCCTTCAGCCAGCTTCCACAGGCGCTCCCATGACCAGGTGAGGAGCAGGGGTGCAGCCTGGCCTGGCTGAGCCCAGCTGGCATCGGTTCATCACCCAGAGGCTCCGGCCTGGCTCGTCCCCATCCCCTCGCGCAATGGAGGCGACGGGAGCCCAGCTCCTGAGGCAGAAAAAAGTAGGACCCCTCACCCTGCCACAACCCGCCATCCGCGTCCCTCCAGCCCATCCGCCATGGACTACATTTCCCAGAGGCCTTTGCGCCCAGGAGGCGGAAGAGGCGTACACGGGGGCGGGGTGATCTTCCGTTCCGATTGGCTCCCTGGGGCAGACGCCAGCAGCCATTGGGTGAGGCGGTCACGTGAGGCGGCGGGAGGCGCGTGGCCTGGTGGGAGCTGTGCGGGAGCGGGGCGGCTTGTTCGGTCTCTGCCATGCTGCGGGCCCGGGGCGGCTGGCGGGCCCTCCGCCGCTGTGCCT